CGCTATATATCCTAATCCTACCCTTATATCCTAATCCCACGCTATATATATTCTAATACCACACTATATATCCTAATCCAACCCTATATATCCTAATCCTACCCTATGTATCCTAATCCCACCCTATATATCCTAATCCAACCCTTATATCCTAATGCCACCCTATATATCCTAATCCCACCCTATATATCCTAATCCCACCCTATATATCCTAATCCAACCCTTATATCCTAATCCCACCCTATATATCCTAATCCAACCCTTATATCCTAATCCCACCCTATATATCCTTATCCAACCCTATATATCCTAAACCCACACTATATTTCCTAATCCTATGCTATATATCCTAATCCCACACTATATATCCTTATCCAACCCTATATATCCTAATCCCACACTATATATCCTAATCCAACCCTTTATACCCTAATACAACCCTATATATCTTTATTCCACCCTTATATCCTAATCCCACGCTATATATCCTAATCCTACCCTATATATCCTAATCTCACGCTATATATCCTAATCCCACGCTATATATCCTTATTCCACGCTATATATCCTTATCCCACGCTATATATCCTAATGCAATCCTATATATCCTTATTCCACGCTATATATCCTTATCCCACGCTTTATATCCTAATCCAACCCTATATATCCTTATTCCACCCTTATATCCTAATGCAATCCTATATATCCTAATGCAATCCTATATATCCTTATTCCACGCTATATATCCTTATCCCACGCTATATATCCTAATCCCACCCTATATATCCTAATCCAACCCTATTTATCCGAATCCAACCCTATATATCCTTCTTCCATCCTTATATCTTAATTCAATCCTATATATCCTAATGCAATCCTATATATCCTTATTCCACGCTATATATCCTTATCCCACGCTATATATCCTAATCCCACACTATATATCCTAATACCACCCTTATACCCTAATCCCACGCTATGTATCCTAATCCCATGCTATATATCCTAATCCAACCCTATTTATCCTAATCCAACCCTATATATCCTTCTTCCATCCTTATATCTTAATGCAATCCTATATATCCTAATGCAATCCTATATATCCTTATGCAATCCTATATATCCTAATCCCACACTACATATCCTAATCCAACCCTATATATCCTTATTCCATCCTTATATCCTAATCCCACCCTATATATCCTAATCCAACCCTTATGTCCTAATCCCACCCTATATATCCTAATACCATGCTATATATCCTAATCCCACACTATATATCCTACTACCACCCTTATATCCTAATCCCACACTATGTATCCTAATCCCATGCTATATATCCTAATCCAACCCTATTTATCCTACTCCAACCCTATATATCCTTCTTCCATCCTTATATCTTAATCCCACACTATATATCCTAATCCCACGCTATTTATCCTAAGCCAACCCTATATATCCTAATCCCACGCTATATATCCTAATCCCACACTATATATCCTAATCCAACCCTATATATCTTTATTCCACCCTTATATCCTAATCCCACACTATATATCCTAATCCCATGCTATATATCCTAATCCAACCCTATTTATCCTAATCCCACACTACAGATCCTAATCCAACCCTATATATCCTAATCTAACCCTATATATCCTAATCCCACACTATATATCCTTATCCCACACTATATATCCTAATCCCACACTATATATCCTAATCTAACCCTATATATCCTAATCTAACTTATATATCCTAATCCCACACTATATATCCTTATCCCGCACTATATATCCTAATCCCACACTATATATCCTAATCCAACCCTATATATTCTTATTCCACCCTCATATCCTAATCACATGCTATATATCCTAATCCCATGCTATATATCCTAATCCAACCCTATTTATCCTAATCCCACACTACAGATCCTAATCCAACCCTATATATCCTTATTCCATTCTATATATCCTAATCCCACACTACAGATCCTAATCCAACCCTATATATCCTTATTCCATTCTATATGTCCTAATCCTACCCCATATATCCTAATCTCATCCTATATATCCTAATCCTAACCTATATATCCGAATCCCATCCTATATACCCAAATCCCATTCTATATACCCTAATACAACCCTATATATCCTTATTCCACCCTTTATACCCTAATCCCACGCTATATATCCTAATCCCACCCAAAATACCCTAATCCAACCCTATATATCCTAATCTGCTCCCCTAATCCCACCCTATATACAATGTACAAAAATTCTACGGTTGTCATAATAATATGATGCCATGCTACCCGTCCAGGTTATGACCTTCGGTGCGATGACGCTTTATATTGACACCTGAATGACCCCTGGACACTGTCATCAAAACATACGACTTGTTGCTAAGACGTAAAAACCAAATCTGTTTATCAACTAATCTATCAAAATGGCCACCTAACTAAACACTTGTCTCCGATATGTCCAGATATACTGTAGGACTACTTCTTTTAGTGGACACAAATTTTAGCATATTATTGTCACCCTGGTACAAAATATGTGTCGCTTCCTATCGCTCAATTAAAGAGAAATTCACCCTAGCTGAGTCGGTAGGATGCGGCTAGTACCTGTGACAGGGGCACTTTTACATTGGTGGCCGATTTTATTTGTACACATAGGATTACAGTCGCCTTCTAGCTTCGAGCTAGAGGGAATTTCCATTTAGCTCAGTGGTAGAGCATCCGACTAGGAACCTGGAGATCAAGGGCTTGATCCCCGGTGGAAGCACATCGCTTTCTTTCCTGTTACAAATGGTGTCTGTGGGCCTCCCTGTGGCAACAGGGAGTTAGAACCTGGGTTGTGGTGTTCGAGGGTGAACACATTTAAAAAGGGGGGAGTAGTGTGGCAGATTTTAATTGTACATAGGATTACGGTCACCTTCTAGCTTCGAGCTAGAGGGAATTTCCCTTGAGACGACCTACGAACTAGGTTGTGATAAAGTGGTATATAAGAAACTCAAATTATTATCATTATTGTTATTATTTAGCTCAGTGGTAGAGCGTCCGACTAGGAACCTGGAGATCGAGGGTTCGATCCTTGTGGCAGCACACTATATTCTCTTTCCTGTTACACATTATTAAATTTCAATAGATTAGCGCATCGATGAATTGCGCACTCACAATATATGCAATAGAAGAGTATAAACAGGAAGTTCAATGATCGTAATCGTAATAATGTTTAGCACAACGTTTGAAGCAAAGAAAAGTTAATAAGAAAGCCACTAAAATGTGTACATTTACAGTATTCTTATATCAGTTGTACCGATGTAAAAAGTTTGACAGAACTGATAATGTACGTGATACTGATTGTTCTACACAGTATGTTGGCTGGTATGACGAGGAAAGTTTGGGAGGTTTGGAGGGCACGTGTGTCAAGACGGTGGAGACAGACCCCAATTTCGGTCAGTATCATCTTATCTAATACTTTAGCTGTTATACTGTATATGGTAAAGTTTGCTGCAGTTCAACTTTCACATTTTTTGCCCTCCATAATGAAGACAGTTTAAAATTAATCAGTTGAATATGAATATCAAATGTGAAGGATGAAATGAGTGCTGATCAAATATGGACTCTTTCACCACTGTAGACCATAATGGACTCATCCAGATCAATGCATGGTAGAATCTGCTAAAGTCACATAGGGGTGAAAGGGTTAACCAGATATGATGGCAAAAGTTTGACCGGTTGAAAATTTCTTGGTACCAGGGATATGATATTGATTGCCCTCCAAGTTGACAAACATTGTAACCTCCATTTAAACATAAGGTCACCGGGAAATGGCATGCACTTCCTTAACAACACTTAGCAACGTATAGGAATGACTGAGGGTGCAACATTTACCCTTGTACCTTGATCCCTAGTGGTGTCAGGGTGTGTAGTTGGTGTGTCCAGTAGTAATCCAGTCGTTTCCTTTTTGTGGGAAACTCAAAAGGATGGGGGGTCGGTGGGTAGAATTTCAATAGCAACTTTAGCAACAGCTTACCATCTAACACTTAGCAACGTATAGGAATGACTGAGGGTGCAACATTTACCCTTGTCCCTTGATCCCTAGTGGTGTCAGGGTGTGTAGTTGGAGATCCCTAGTGGTGTCAGTGGGTGTAGTTGGTGTGTGCACTAGTGGTGTCAGGGTGTGTAGTTGGTGATCCCTAATGGTGTCAGGGTGTGTAGTTGGTGATCCCTGTGGTGTCAGGGTGGGTAGTTGGTGATCCCTAGTCGTGTCAGGGTGTGTAGTTGGTGATCCCTAGGGGTGTCAGGGTGTGTAGTTGGTGATCCCTAGAGGGGTCAGGGGGTGTAGTTGGTGATCCCTAGTGGTGTCAGGGTGTGGAGTTGGTGATCCCTAGAGGTGTCAGGGTGTGTAGTTGGTGATCCCTGTGGTGTCAGGGTGGGTAGTTGGTGATCCCTAGTCGTGTCAGGGTGTGTAGTTGGTGATCCCTAGAGGGGTCAGGGGGTGTAGTTGGTGATCCCTAGTGGTGTCAGGATGTGTAGTTGGTGATCCCTAGTGGTGTCAAGGTGTGTAGTTGGTGATCCCTAGTGGTGTTAGGGTGTGTAGTTGGTGATCCCTAGTGGTGTCTTGGTGGGTAGTTGGTGATCCCTAGTGGTGTCAGGGGGTGTAGTTGGTGTGTCCAGTAGTGGTGTCAGGGTGTGGAGTTGGTGATCCCTAGAGGTGTCAGGGTGTGTAGTTGGTGATCCCTGTGGTGTCAGGGTGGGTAGTTGGTGATCCCTAGTGGTGTCAGTGTGTGTAGTTGGTGTGTCCAGTAGTGGTGTCAGGGGGTGTAGTTGGTGATCCCTAGTGGTGTCAGGATGTGTAGTTGGTGATCCCTAGTGGTGTCAAGGTGTGTAGTTGGTGATCCCTAGTGGTGTCTTGGTGGGTAGTTGGTGATCCCTAGTGGTGTCAGGGTGGGTAGTTGGTATGTCCAGTAGTGGTGTCAGGGTGTGTAGTTGGTGTGACCAGTAGTGGTGTCAGGGTGTGTAGTTGGTTATCCCTAGTGGTGTCAGGTTGTGTAGTTGGTGATCCCTAGTCGTGTCAGTGGGTGTAGTTGGTGTGTCCAGTAGGGGTGTCAGGGTGTGTAGTTGGTGATCCCTGTGGTGTCAGGGTGGGTAGTTGGTGATCCCTAGTGGTGTCAGGTTGTGTAGTTGGTGATCCCTAGTGGTGTCAGAGTGTGTAGTTGGTGATCTCTAGTGGTGTCTGGGTGTGTAGTTGGTGATCCCTAGTGGTGTCAGGGTGGCTAGTTGGTGATCCCTAGTGGTGTCAGGGTGTCTAGTTGGTGATCCCTAGTGGTGTCAGGGTGGCTAGTTGGTGATCCCTAGTGGTGTCAGGGTGTGTATTTGGTGTGTCCCGTAGTGGTGTCAGGGTGTGTAGTTGGTGTGACCAGTAGTGGTGTCAGGGTGTGTAGTTGGTTATCCCTAGTGGTGTCAGGTTGTGTAGTTGGTGATCCCTAGTCGTGTCAGTGGGTGTAGTTGGTGTGTCCAGTAGTGGTGTAAGGGTGTGTAGTTGGTGATCCCTAGTGGTGTCTTGGTGGGTAGTTGGTGATCCCTAGTGGTGTCAGTGGGTGTAGTTGGTGATCCCTAGTGGTGTCAGGGTGTCTAGTTGGTGATCCCTAGTGGTGTCAGGGTGGGTAGTTGGTGATCCCTAGTCGTGTCAGGGTGTGTAGTTGGTGATCCCTAGTGGTGTCAGTGTGTGTAGTTGGTGTGTCCAGTAGTAATCCAGTCGTTTCCTTTTTGTGGTAAACTCAAAAGGATGTGGGGTCGGTGGGTAGAATTTCAATAGCAACTTTAGCAACAGCTTACCATCTAAATTATTGACCAGTCTGCAGAAAATCCTACATAAACATTGAAGAACATGCCTTTAAATTTTGTGAAACAAACTTCAGCATGCTGTGATACTATTGTTGAGTAGCAGAACTGAACTTGGTAGATTGACGGCAACCAGGAAGCTCAATTGGTAGAGCATCCGTCTTAAGAGTTGGTGGGTCCCAAGTTCCAACCCTGGTTTGGCTGTGAATTTTTCCGCTCCAATTACATTTGGTGCCGTGACCAACCCTTGTTTCTAGTACTAGGTGAATACTTGACAAGGGGATACCCAGACCTGGGTTGTAAATACTGTTGTCTTCAAGGGCGAGGAAATAGAAAAATGAGGGAGGAATAGAGTGGAACTGCACTAGGTTGGTTGTCAGTGAACAGATAGCTCAATTGGTAGAGTGTCCGTCTAGATCTCGTAGGGTCCCTGGGTTTGAATCTCGTTCTGGCCTTGCATTTTTCTGCCCCTGTTACAGTTGTAAATCACAATCAATGCTCAATATTTACCATTGTATGGCATTACCACTATATAACCCTACCAAATTCAGTTGGCATTCATATGGCTATGAATGCCATGGACCGAATGTTGATGGCATCATTATTATGACGTCATAATTGTTACGTTGGCTACCACTGACCCTCCCTGGGCGATGGCTGTTCTATTCACTGAACAAGCATACACGATACATACATTATTTAAACTAAATGTTGAATAATAGGAAATGTAATGGAATTTTCTATGAGATGAACAGATTCCAAAAATGGTAAACCAAACCTGACCTCATGACTGACTGCAGCTGAAACAGTTTGTACTGCTTCACTTCATCATAAACCAATGGACATTCTCAATGGATATTATTTAATTATCATCAATGTAACCCAGGTAAAAATAAGTGAGACTCCATGACAAGTTTATATCACCCTCCTGTAAAACACTCATGTCTTCCTTTCTTAAGTCATAACAATTAATTATCTGACTTGCTTCTTTAGTTATTAACTAAGACATCCCGAGTCTTTTTTTAAGAGAACAAAACTCCTTATCTCTCAGGCAGATTAGGAATAGACTTAGAGAACAAATCTCCTTATCTATCAGGCAGATTAGGAATAGACTTGGAGAACAAATCTCCTTATCTTTCAAGCAGATTAGGAATGGACTTGGTAAAACAAATCTCCTTATCTCTCAGGCAGATTAGGAATAGACTTAGAGAACAAATCTCCTTATCTCTCAGGCAGATTAGGAATGGACTTAGAGAACAAATCTCTGTATCTCTCAGGCAGATTAGGAATGGACTTGGTAAAACAAATCTCCTTATCTCTCAGGCAGATTAGGAATAGACTTAGAGAACAAATCTCCTTATCTATCAGGCAGATTAGGAATAGACTTAGAGAACAAATCCCTGTATCTCCCAGGCAGATTAGGAATAGACTTAGAGAACAAAACTCTGTATCTCCCAGGCAGATTAGGCTTCACTAATGTCTTGTATTATAGAACAGGAGTATAATCTATTTTTTTATTGTGTGTCATAGTGATGGGTCATGTCATCAAAAATGGTTTGGAAGTTTTGGGGACTGGCCGGACAATCAGACTTGACCAGGAGTTGGACAAGGACATTAAAAAAATGGTCAGTCTGGGCAAGTCTAAGAGTGTCACTGACCGGGAGAAGAAACATGTCAACGCGGTCAGACTCTGGGCAGAGGGGTGAGTTAAAGTGATACCAAACACTTAGAGTTAGTTTAGATTAGCTAAAGCAGTTGTTTTATTTAATTAAACAGCATATTTTTAAATAAAATTTCAGAGGGGTGGGGATACAAGTGTGGAGCTTATATTGCTGGTAATGCATGTTTTAATTATAATAATAATTTGAGATTCTTATATACCGCTTTATCACAACCAATTCGTAGGTCGTCTCAAAGCTGTTTACAAATTATTATCCGTGTTTATAGGGCCTTTGCAACCAGCCAACATCTTTCTGAACTCCCTGGGGATCATACAGCCGGTGTTGCCATATCGGCACTCACAGCTAGCATACAACAATTCTAGCACTGCCCAACCAGGTTCTCATTTACAGCTGGGTAGACTGGAACAAGCGGAGTAAAATATCTTGCTCAAAGATACAACACAGTGCCGTGCCGTGACTCAAACCCGCAACCTTTCGGTAACGAGCCCGGTGTCCTACCACTAGACTACTGTGCCTTCATTACCAGTTGGTCCTTGTTAATTCTGTCAGTCTATGCACCTGTTAAAAATAATTGCTCTCATATTATATTATATTATACGGGCAAGGTATGATATATATCTTGCCCACTACAAGTGCCATGTTGATTATGCTTACATCAATTGTGTATCCAGGGTTGCTTTACTGAATGCATATTGCGGATACTGATTTTGACCTATATTTTATCTTGAACGCAAATCATTTACATACATATTTCCCATGATGCCCTAGCCCTATAGATCTGTTCAGAATGTAGCTGTTGAAATTCACTGAAACTGACGATAATTAGGAGAGAGGGAGTTATTGTTCCTACAGGTGAACTGTTCTGATTGGATGATATAGCATGTGGAGTTGGTTCTTTTTCTTTATTTGGTTATGACATTGACCACACTATGCAGAATTGATACTGTATTCCAGGATTTATTTTTCCAAGTGTTAATTTCGGCCTCCACATTTGATTACTTATTGATGTTTATTGTATGGTTTACTTATACTTTGCTGTAATGAAAAATTTAAGACGAAAATTAAACTCCAGCATTTTTTTTTCAGTATGTTTACACTACAGCATCTGAAATCTAACACTTTCTTATCATGTCATATCTAGCCATTTGTTGGATGGATAAACTGATTGATTTAGCTTATTTGATATTTTCTCCTGTTGCCAGGGAGATGACAGCTGCGACCCATGTGTGGGAGGACATTCTGGTGACACACCCCCAGGACATCCTCGCCCTCAAGTTCGCACACGACTCCTACTTCTACCTCGGCTACCAACCACAGTGTAGGGACAGTATAGCTAGGGTACTGCCATCTTGGAATAAGCGCATGCCCTTATATGGGTAAGTGAGAAATCCTACCATTATATCCATGGGGACGTATATAAAATGTGCCTTCCTTTATATAAGGAAAGCGACTCATAGCCCTTTGGCTGTTCATAATCCTCGTTAAAGAAATAAAGAATAAAATTATATAAAAAAGTAAAAGATGAGCAATTATCCATATAAAATATCCCCCTCCAAAAAGAAGTAGCCAATGGGATAACACTCAATCAGAAGACAATTTTCAATCATACGACTGACCTTTGTTTTGGCCTTTGTACCATTAAAGTATCAACTCATCAAATGTATTTTTACGTGATGTTTTTATATATTTTGTCTCAAGAGCTATGCCACTGAGTTAGTTGACAGTTATCTTTAAATAATAAGAGTGGCCTTGACCTTTGCCCTGATAACTTAAAACATGAACTCGTTCAAGGTAGTTTTATACTTGACCTTGGTATTTAAAGTTTAACTTATTCACCCCTACATATCTAAACTGGACTTTCCCAGTCATTGAATTGGTAAGGTTCAAAAGTAACTTTAGGGGTGAATGAGTAAATAAGAGTCTGTTAAGAAATGACTTATGACATAGGTAATTAATTGACAAATTTTATAAATAGACACAATGACCTTGGCATCGACCTAGGAACACTAAAACTCAAACCTGTCTGAGGAACCCTCATATTTGACCTACATAACTGTTGTGTAAATGTTTGAAGATTTATACAAACTTTTTACAAATGACATTGGTAGAGTGATGAAATGATTGGTTTATGATTTTCTATGGATAGAAAGTGACCTTGATATTGACCTTGGTACCCTAAAACGTTATCTTGCCTCAGGTACTCTCATCCTTTATCTTAGTACAAAGTTCAATCAAAATCTGTAAGAAATGAAGTCACTCGAGTGATGACATCGTTAGAAACCCTCAATTAAAATTCACACAAGTTGCACATATACCCAGCCATATGAAATCTCTTACTCCGCAGGTTGAGGTGTTTTGGGTTGAATACATGCAATATATGCACATACATGATTTGAAGCTAGTATGGTCGGGAATGAGTACACCTTTGTTGCAAGGTTGGTCGAGGTAGATTTTCATATCAAGATTTACCCTGTCCTCATATGACCCTGGCTGTGGCGAGGACCGTCCTCATATGACCCTGGCTGTGGCGAGGACCGTCCTCATATGACCCTGGCTGTGGCGAGGACCGTCCTCATATGACCCTGGCTGTGGCGAGGACCGTCCTCATATGACCCTGGCTGTGGCGAGGACCGTCCTCATATGACCCTGGCTGTGGCGAGGACCGTCCTCATATGACCCTGGCTGTGGCGAGGACCGTCCTCATATGACCCTGGCTGTGGCGAGGACCGTCCTCATATGACCCTGGCTGTGGCGAGGACCGTCCTCATATGACCCTGGCTGTGGCGAGGACCGTCCTCATATGACCCTGGCTGTGGCGAGGACCGTCCTCATATGACCCTGGCTGTGGCGAGGACCGTCCTCATATGACCCTGGCTGTGGCGAGGACCGTCCTCATATGACCCTGGCTGTGGCGAGGACCGTCCTCATATGACCCTGGCTGTGGCGAGGACATTAAATCCTAAACAAACAAAACCAAGGTTTAGACTTGAATGCAGTCGTTGTACCGCATATCAAATGTGGCTTCACATAACAGAAATGCAAAATAGATTTTTTAGCGTGGTCTAGTGATTTTGTGAAATGGTGTATTAGGCATTGACTGTAAGGCAGTGTGTCATATGTATAAAAGCTGTTAGCAGTGTTTTTTGTAACAATTTTTTGTACTTAGAAATAGACACCCGTGTCACTGATCAGTCATTCAGGTGTCAGTTACAGCACATTTATAACAGAATGTGCATTTAATCAGTGTGTAACTTACAGATCTATGTAAACGACAGAATTAAAGTGTAAATAAAGATGGCATGACTAAGGAGGCTGATAAATTATAAATGGAACTACATGTACTCCATTCCTTCTGACAAGATATCTGACACTGTTGATTGGCAGAAGTAACATGTTCCGGGAAAGTTTTAATGTTAAAATGTATGGTAAAATTCTGTCAAAACTGAGGAGGGTGTTGTTTATTTGGAGGGGAGAAGGGCGAGGGGGGTGTAAATTGAAATTTTGACGCAAGGGTTAATCCCCAGATTTATTAGGGGAAGGTGTGCTTGTGTTTTTTCGGGGCAAAGATCAGTCAGTCACTTTTATGATATCTAAAAGAATATCATGGGACTGGGGGCTGGGGGCTGGGAGGGGGATGTGGTGGGGTGGGGGTGAAACTGTTCCCTTGCCCCGCAGGCTCCTGCCATGGTATGTCCTTATAAGGATAAAGGAATGTGATGTTTGTTGATACTTTAGATACCTACTTGGAATGTATGCGTTCGGCCTGGAGGAGTGCAACCATTATCAACAGGCAGAGGTGACAGCACGACAGGTCAGCAGAATCTATTATAAGTTAGGAACTATAAACTATGGCCAAACTACACCAGACTTGTACTTTCTCAGTTCAGTGAGAATAGTTATTGTTTCATATTTATATGATACATTAAAGAGTTTCAAGCATAATAGAATATTACATGTCTGGTAAAAACATTGTATATGACTAATTCAATTTCAGTCACATAATTTCAATAGGAAGGGAAGTAACTATTGTACAATGATATTAAGATCTTTTTACTGTAGCTTAAATCAACTTATCTTTGTATATTATATTATCCTTCTTAGCAAATATTTTAATTTAAAAATAATATTAAGCGATTAGTGGTCATAATTTATATTTTTAACAAAGGTCAAGCTTAAAGAAGGTTAATAGGTAAATCTTGCTTTAAATATTAGACTTAAACATGTGTTTTAAGGATTGGACATGAATCGTAGTGGTGTTTTGATGTATGTTTTACATGTCTTATGTAGGTGAGGAGTTAGGTAGTAAACTCTGTGAAGTTATAAGGAAAGTGTTATATGATTATCATGTGTATTTCAGGGACTGGACATCAATCGGCGTGATGCCTGGTCAACACATGCTATGGCTCATGTCTTTGAAATGCAAGGACGTTTCGAGGAGGGAATCAACTTCATGTCCAATACAGAGAATGACTGGAATGTGAGCTATATACACTGACATTGTGTTACATCGGTTAGATTTGTTATACCCCTAAATTAGATGTCAACAGTTCTGATTTTTTAAAGGGATCTTTCAGGTAAGGATGTCTACTGTAAACTGTAGCATGCATTTCCTATGGAAAAGAGGTCATCACTAAGGAACCCATAGAAAATCATTGATGAATAATAATGTTTAGTAAATAGTTGATAAACTATATAATTGATCTGTGATTGAATTTGTGTCATGATGATTGTCTCCTCTTTGGTACTAAACGGTCATATGGGATGATTGACCTTGTAATCATTTTGACCTCTTTGTTTCAGACCTGTGGGTTGGTTGACCTTGTAATGATATTGACCTCTATGTTTCAGACTTGTGGGATGATTGACCTTGTAATAATTTTGACCTCTATGTTTCAGACTTGTGGAATGACTGACCTTGTAATAATTTTGACCTTTTTGTTACAGACCTGTGGGATGACTGACTTTGTAATAATTTTGACCTCTTTGTTTCAGACCCGTGGGTTGGTTGACCTTGTAATGATTTTGACCTCTGTGTTTTAGACTTGTGGGATGATTGACCTTGTAATAATTTTGACCTCTGTGTTTCACACCTGTGGGATGATTGACCTTGTAATATTTTTGACCTCTATGTTTCAGACCTGTGGGATGACTGACCTTGTAATATTTTTGACCTCTGTGTTTCAGACCTGTGGGATGATTGACCTTGTAATAATTTTGACCTCTGTGTTTCACACCTGTGGGATGATTGACCTTGTAATATTTTTGACCTCTATGTTTCAGAC